AATCTTTTAAAAGCTCAACGAGTTTAGTGTTGCAGCTCTACACAGATCTGAACCCTTTTCATTCATAAATATGTCAGCTGCTCTCTATGAGCCTTCTGCTAGTGGCTATCTCACAGTTAGCAGTGCCAACTTCATCAATAAGGAGCTCCTATTAATATTTTATTTATCAACAACAAAGGGATTTCATTAGTAGCTGATAAAGGGAGTAGCTCAAAGTTGTTATAGTTGACCCTAAACTCTATTAGAAGCAACAGAGCTTAAAAAACATTAATACATTTAGTTCATGAGCAAGTTTCAAAACTCAGTTAAAACACATTCAGTAACCACAGCTGCCGCTTAGCATGCTATAGCTCAACGACGTTTCACTTACTGATTTCTAACTACTAAAAGTTGAGTGATAAAAACAAATCTGTTATCTTTCCCTGCAGTCTCTCCACACTGCAGCTTAGCATTGAGCTAACTCTGCTAACTAGCCGAGCTGCTAACTCAGAGACTTCAATAACTCTGGATGACATCCATTGAAAAAGTATACCAACCAGACGCTTACCTTATCCGGACATTTAATGTGCAAAACAATTATATATTCCGTTAAAATTCCGCCTGTGAACAGTGTGCTTTTCCTTTAGGAATAAAATTAATAATGTGTGGTCTTCACACACACGTTAGAGATGTCGTTTGCTCCTGCTAGCACAACCGTATCCCTCCGCCAACAACCTCCCGTTTGAGCAGCTGTTACGGGACTACATTCAGACGGAGCGGAGTGATACCTCTCCGTGGGGCTCACAGCAGCTGTTTTGATATGTGGCTTATTAAATGTTTTCTTCCTCGTAACCGGATGTTTTTGCTTATCAACGATAAATACGCTCAGTTTAAGCACCACACTCTGCCAGTTTAAGTAGAGTTCAGCGCCATGTCGGCACGCTAACAGTTGTGGCATGCTTCTTATCTTTGGCATGCTAATGCTAAGCTAATTATTAGCAACGCAGAATTAATTAGTTTGGGACTGTTTTTATTTACAGAGTCTATAAACTCTGATTAAAGACATGAACGGCGACCATCAAAGGCTCTAATGTAACAGCTCCGGCATCTACCTAAACTTTCCAGCCCAAAGTGTTAGGATGGTGTGGCGATTTCTAACACAACAACCAACAAAATGTAAAAAGAAATCAGTAAATATATTTATATGCAAATAATATACATGTTAACGAAGACTAGTATTTGTTGTTGTTGTTGTTTGTGGTATAAATAAAGCATTTCACGAGTGGAATTGTGTAATTTACGTTTTTCCATTTTAAAATTCTGACTGAAGGATGTTATTCTACGTCAGCCTAAAAGGCAATATCAACGTGCATTATTATTATTATTATTATTATTATTATTATTATTATTATTATTATTATTACCAGTTTAGAAAAATCTCTCAGAACGCGATGACGCAAGCAGAGTGCGTGCGGCACGTGACGTCAGGGACCCGGAAGGAAGTTTGCTCCAGTGTTGTCATAGCAGCTCCGCGGGTAAAGAGACGAAAAAACCCTCTCTGCAGCCGCTGCTCTTTGTTTATTTGTTTTTGTTTGTGGTCTCTGAGTGTCGCCATCATGAATGTGACGCTCGCGGTGAAGCAGTACATCTCCAAGATGATCGAGATCAGCGGGCCCGGGATGAAGGTGCTGCTCATGGACAAGGAGACGGTGAGGACCGACCAGGACTGTTAGCGGTGCTGGTGCTCAGCAGTGTTTACAGCAACGTTACTGTGTCTGATGGTGTGTGTGTGTGTGTGTGTGTGTGTGTGTGTGTTCAGACCAGTATAGTGAGCGTGGTGTACACTCAGTCTGAGATCCTGCAGAAGGAGGTTTACCTGTTTGAGCGGATTGACTCTCAGAACAGGGATAACATGAAGCACCTTAAAGCCATCTGCTTCTTGCGGCCCACCAAGGTACAAACCGCCCTCTGAGTAACTGTGTGTGTGTCTGTGTGTGAGGTAACACCATCTGCAACTGTGTGTTTGTGTGCTTGCTGCAGGAGAACGTGGAGCACCTGATCCAGGAGCTGAGGAGGCCCAAGTACAGTGTCTACTTCATCTGTAAGTTTGGGCTGGAGTGAGGGGAGAACAGGGTTGCTGGTTTGGCACTCGTCGTCCTCGGACAGTTCAAACATAGCTCGGAAGCTAAGATACGAAACTGAGTTTAGCTTTGCTGCAGAATCCTAGAGATCAGCGATCTTATCAGAAAATTT